CCATTTTTGTGAAGAATAAATTTTGGAATAGTGATTGATGGGAAGAATGTGTGGTTGAAAAATAAGAAGAATTTTTGGATTTATGTGTAATATTATTTTATTGATAGAATATGTGGTTGAAATGAAGAAAGAGAAAAAAATGAGAAATAGAATGAGAAAAAAATGGGTGTCAATTATAAATAAATAATTTTTGGTTAATTTTAAAAAATTACTTATTTGTAAAATCCGTTTAAAGGTATGAAATTTTGTGGGTCCTAGGATCTCTGGTCGTGGTCTTAGTGGTTATTTACTTTTGATTGCATCGCCAATTCGCCATCATAATATTTTGGTGGGTTTTACATGCTGTTAACAGTTCCTATTCGATAGAAATTCAAATCCAAATTTTAATTCAAATCAAAGTCAAAAATTAATTTTAACCACTCATTTATGAGATTCGCAACTTTTCAACCACATATTTCATCAACTTTTATTTTTATTAAAATTTACTAAAAATCTAATTTTAATCCCGCCAAACAGGGGTTAAATAGTAAATGTTAGCTTAATTAATAATAAAATTATGAACTCCAATGGGTAGAATTTTGTACTAAATACATATAACAAAAAGTCATCTTGCTTGTACAGTCGAACATAACTAATACAAGCAGATGACATTCTTTTCTTTTATTTGTTTATTCGGTAAATACAAATTATATTGATAAAAAATCATGTACAAGTAAGTGACATTCTGATACTATCGAACATAGCTATAAAAAGTAGGCAATTGGCTCAACTAGTACTAGAAATGCTTAAGCACAGAGTTGTGGTTATAATTTAGTTCTTCATCAGACATGATTTTGGGAATCACTCTTGTTACAGTCAAAGTACCACATCGTAGTTCACGTGGAAATAAAATTCAACAGAAATCCAATTGGTCAAATAAAAAGAAGTCAATTAAAGTCTGAAACTCTTGTGCCGAAGCACTACTTAAATGGTTGAATCTGTTCAGCTGAAGTGCTACGTAAGAAATCAAAGAAGAAGTCGAAAATCTTCACATAGAAGACCACCAATATGAAGCTCCCTCAGGTCGAAACCATTAGTTCATCCGAAGTCCCTAGAGTTGAAACTGTTTCTTACAAGATTTGTAGACAATCTTTAGTAATGATTGATGTAACGTCTGCAATAAAGAATATCAGATGTGTTACCCTAATCTATATGACGGTTGATCCGTTGTCAATATATTTAATGTATGAGGGACTCAATGATGTGAGACTTCAGTCAAGAAGATGAGGCAACATGGTTCTAATCCAATGAACACCACGTCGGTCAGAACCCTATAGATTGGTCTATGTAAATTGTAGTGGCTTTTGGATGGTTATTTGAATACAGATTTTAATATACAAAAAAACACTCAAGAAACCTTCTTACTTGTTCTATATTTATTAGTTTGATCTTAGGTTATTTACGCTTTGTTGGTGATTGTTTGCTAGCGCGATCATCCTAGTTAATATCGCCGGTGCTTGAATACTTTTGTCTCGCGCCGTAAAGTATGTCTCGCGTTCACGTGTTATCCTTCTCTCACCGGTACTCCGTTCAAAAAGTACCAGAACTTGCTTGAGTTGGCGTGAGTAAACCCGCCATATGTTGTCCACGTTTGTGTTACGTTTTTCGGAGTCAACAACTCCCACTACTTGTACAAACGCTCTTTGCCGATCTCCTTTGTATGTTATGGGATCGAAAGGTCATGTGGCCGAGATACATAGAGGAATGTGTCGGACAATATAGTCAAACTTCGGACAATAAAGTAAAACTCCACCTATTACTAAAAAATTCCGCACTGGCATAAACACAATTTGTTCAATTCATTATGACAAAAAATCCAAAGAAAATTTGCAATAATAAGGCAACTCAAGAGAGCGTTTAAGTAGGGTTGGATAGCTACTACCAAAATTCAAACTGTCATACATAATGGTATAATAAAAAATACAGGGGAAAAGAATGGGTAGGAAACAAGAAATGCGAATGGATATAATGACAAATTAACTGATCAGAAGAACACTCTTTCACAAGAACACGAGCATTCCACCCACAAAAGCCAAAGCCAGTTGGCTCAATTTACCCGAATTCAAAATGCTGTGAGAAGATGAAGGTGAAGACTTTGAAGACGATGATTCGCTTCCCCCCTTTTCAGATGGAGAATCTGCTACAGGAGCAGTATCTGGGACCGGGGCCGGAGCTGGAGCCGGGGTTGGTGGTATATCAGTGCCAAAGATTGCCTCCGGGAGCAGAACTTTATCAGTCTCATAAACTGCCACCGGATCAGTGGCACGAACTGCGCTAATAACCTTTGTTTTAGTCCATCCGGAATCAACATGCACTGTTCCAGAGTTATCGGTGAAATTCAAACTGTATTGTCCACCAGCAAAAGTTGGAATGGGGCTTTGTCGGCTTAGGTTCGTGAAATCAGCCAGTTTGTAGTAATGTGGCAAAGCATGGAAAAGGCATAGAGATTTGAGTTGGTCCTGTGTGAGGTTAGAAATAGAGGGCTTCTTTAGTGATGCAAAGGCCTCGTCTTTCGGCACAAAAAGGGTAATACCTTCATCAGTGTTATTGGCTTGGTTTTGAAGAGTTTCAATGACTTTGGTGGATTGAAGATAGCCAAGGAATGTGTGGAACGGGCCGGCAACGGAGAGTAAGTCAGTCAGGTTTACATATTCCGGTGCAGGGGCAGGGGCAGGAGTCGGAGTTGGAGTTGAAGCTACAACAGATTGTGCATTTGCTGATGCAAAATAGAAAATAACTAGTATTGCACTAATAAAAACCATAAAATTCATTTTAAATCCCCTTTCTTGGCCTCTTAACTCTGAATAAACTTCAAGTTTCTGCAAGATTCATTAATGAATCCATCAGATCTAAGCATACAAAATATATTATACTTAGAGCATGTTTGGCTTAGCTTATCTCTAAGAAAAAAACATCCACCAGATCTTGACAGAGCTGCTATCTAGAAAAGCAACTTTCTTGGAAATAAGCTAAGCCAAACATGCTCTTATCAGATGACTAAGTCACATATACTTCGAGCTTGTTTCGTTTAGCTTATTTCTAAGAAAGAAGCACCCATTAGATATTGAGATAGCTGCTGTCAAGAAAAGCAATTTTCTTAAAGATAAGCTTAGCCGAACCCGCCGTTTACAGATAACTAAGTCACATATTTGATTCAAAATGAAATCTCAGCCTTTCAAAAAAAAATTGAGCATAAAAATCAAAATCCCATTTCGGATAACTAAATCCAAGTAAATCATAATTAATCAAAAATTTCACAAGTTAAAAATTCAGATCTACTTATCAAGCAAAAGGGAAAAGATTTCAATTAAAACGTGAATTTTGTGTTAATTTCAGATCAAATTACATATGGAAGACAATTATAAGTTCATCAGCGCATAATGCAGTACATTTTGAAAAAAAAAGTTCAGATCTGGCAAAGAAGCAGGGAATGAAAAAAAATAAAAAAGCACAGTACTAAAGAAAATTATAATGCTTTCATGCTTGTGTAAAAATATTGAGAAAAACTCGTCGAAACGCGCAGCGGGAAACGAGAAGAAGTGATCATACCGAGGCCAGAGAAAATTCAGATTGAAAAGGCGTCGGTGGAGGAGACAAAGAACGCCAATGCAGCTGGAGCCTGGAGAGCAGCAAGAAAGACGTATATAAAAGAAAAGAGTGTAATAAAATAAAATAAAATAAGAAAAAGGCAGAGTAGGTATATAATATTTAAATGACTTTAGAGGTAAGATTTTCAGTTTGAAGAAAACAGTTTGATGTAGAGTAAGGTGAGCTTTCCATTTCAATTATCAACCTGTCAACTTATTAATTTATAATGTTCATTTGTCATCTTTTTTCACTTTCCAAACATAAATACGTCATCTTTAACGGTGGTAATAACTTAACAAAACCACAGTCGACTTGTAGCCACCCAGATCAACTCAACTCATTGGTCAATGAGTTGGGTTCGAACTAGTTCGTTGACTAAAGGGCCAAGCCTTATTGGATCCATGGGCACTTCTGGTGAAGGGTCAAGCCAAGTTATCCGATCTTCAATACCTGAAACCAAGGCGTCGAAGTATATTCTCGTCGCCCCTCTGATGCTTAAGTCAGATAAGTGCTCAAGAAAAACTTATGTTGAATGCTTATGAAAAACGTACCTGAATAATGGGGTTGGGCTGCGTATTTATGGAGGGTAGAGGTGGAATCCTAAAAGGACTCAACTTTCCTTATTAAATGTATTTTTGATGTGCTAGGATTGTGTTATTTGAGTTATGGTGAAATTTAAGGCAACTGGGGAGTTATTGAACTAGTATTCTAGGGGCACGTGTGATGAGGGGGAGGACACATGAGTTAGGGGACGAGGTTGCCTCCGTTGAGGGTGCCCCGACCTTACAGGCCCGACCTTGAAACTGGCCCAAAAATAGGGAGATGAGGTCGGGCAATTCAGTTCGAGACTTGGAATAGGCCCGACCTTGATCATAACTCGATCTCAACAGTGGACTAATGCCCATTTAACGTGGGTCAAGGTCGAGCTCGGGTTTTAGTACCATCACATGCCACCGTGCATTTAGGCCGCAGCTGAAAGTCTAATTTATCTAGATGTTGGTCAAGATGCATCGAGGTCAGCTCGGCCGGGTCGAACTTAATGGGCTATTGCGCGTGACAGCTGTATGGTCACGTGGCGAGCGCACATAGGTTCCTTGGGATCGATCTTGGATGAGTGACACGTGGCAGCGACAAATGGTCAGGATTGAAAAGGCCTTTGACCTTCTTCTGACCCCTATAAATACCCTCCTTTTCGCCATTCATTTTTCACTTTTTACTCTCCACTCTCAGTGAAAGCCGCTCGAGTTCGGGGACCATAGGGGCTTTGTTTAAGAGGTAAGTGTTCGAGCCTTTAAGTTATTTATTTATGACGCCGAGTAGTAGTAGTAGTAAGACATCTAGTAGTTCGACCACTAGGAATCTCGACACTGAGGCAAATTCTATTGACCCCATGGCGGTGCCAATAACCTCGCACCCTGAGGCCGAGGCTATACTGACCTATCCTAGGCTACCGACCAGGTATAAGTAGCACGTGGTGATTAAGGCAGCTAGAGAGTTCGGGGTTATGCCTATGTACGATGTTAGGACCCCCGAGTCTGGGGAAATGGTGATGGATGCTCGGGATGGGAAGATGACTTTTCTAGGGCTGCTCTTAAGGCCGGCCTCAGGTGGCCTTTACACCCCCTTTTTCATCCATTTTTTAACTACATACCTTATCTGCCCGGGTCAATTAGCACCGAACGGGTGGAGGCTGCTTGTATACTTTTTTATATTGTGTAGATGCCTCAATGTTGAGCCCCGAGTCGACCTATTAAGGATGGTGTTCGATCTCAAATTCTCACCTCGTCGGGGTATAATTGCTTTGTGTATTTATAGGCGAAGGGGGTTTAGAGCGCTAGAAACCCCGAGCTCTCTTTGGGGTTTAAAGGAAAGGTACTTTTTTATTAAGCCCCAAAACCTAGATCATCCCTTTAGCCCGATATGGTCCATCCCCAATAAGGATTGGTTCAACCACGACCCTCTTGCAGCTAAAGTTGATCTCTTGCTCGAGGATGACACCCTCGACCTCGCCAACGTGAGAGGAATCGAGGGTACGAGTCTAAACTCTGTATTTTTGGTCAACTTACCCCAAACCATGATCGAGCTGATTACTTGTTTTTTTTTTTTGTAGATTTAGAGATGTCGTTAGATCCATCTGCCCTACTTTCAAATGTCCAATAGAAGGCCAAGGGCTCGAGGCCCAAGTCTCCCGCCTAGTCGAAGGGGAAGAAAAGGGCTGGGGAATCTAACCCCAGTAGAATGCCAAGTGAGGTTGGACAATCCTCGAAGAGTCCAGCACACATGCCCCAGCTATCCCCCCGAACACAGGCATCCACTCCTCGTGCTATGCCCGAGGTCGTTGACTTGGAGGACGAGGCTCCTCTATTGACCTCAGCTCTGGACGAGCACGCTCGATCTTCTCTGATTCCAAGCCTTGTGAACAAGTATCGAGATGAGGTCGAGCCTGGTGAGGGGGTCAGGGCAGGACCAAAACCTTCAAAAAAGTCGAGTGGGTGCTACGAAGGGTATTCCAAAACACTAAAGAAGTAGGTGCAGGAAAGCCTGTAGCAAATTGGGAAGGATCATACCCAATCACGAAGGTCATTGGATAAAGAACCTACAAGCTACGCACCCTGAACGGTAGAGATATCAACAACAACTGGAACCTCATTCATCTTCGCAAATATTATTTCTAAGTCTTATAAAATGCTTTTCATTTCTTGTATTTTCATTTACACTCAAAACTCGTGCTAACTTAGGCATCGGAGAGCCGATGGCATATGCCATCAGTGTCGGTGGTCCTAACCTTTCTCTGCTTTCAGGATAATCAATGACAAAGTTTCTGACGGACCAAATGAAACCAAGCAAAGAATGCCACCCTTCCATCACGGGACATCTTCGTTATTTCCTTGATGATTTTGTAATTTTCCTTTTTAAATTATTTACTACCATCAGGATCAACACTAATTTAAGCATCGGAGAGCCAATGGAAGAAATACCATCGGTAAAGGAAGATCACGTACAAACACCAAAAATTATTTGGAATCTAGTGGTCGATAAAGTTGACCTCATAGATTCTATCAAGCCATCTAGATGAAGAAGACCACACGGTTGCCTTCAAGCCGTCTTGACAAGTTTGGTCCTACCTACCATCATGCCAATCTAAACAAAGACTCAGCTGCTTTTGAACTGGGATAGCCTTCAAGCCAACCAATAACATTATCTGCCAAATCGGATGGATCTGATTAATCGATTCCTTTGTAAAAATGCATTTATGATTCTATCTTTTAAGTTGGGAAGTAAGTCCAATTTCTATTTAAAATTATGATCATAAACTCTTGTACTTCGAATAAAATTTTAAAAGTTTGATATTTCATCAAGTTTTAGCATACAACCCCAATAATCTACATATTATATAATTTGAAAGACATAAATTTAAATATGTGGCATGCTGTCATAGGCACCCAAAAATAGTCCTTAAACCTCCAAAACTAATATAGTAATGGAAGTAAGGGTCGATCCCACGAAGAGTGTGTAATTCAATATTTATGCTTCGTACAATGATTGAAAGTTTTGTATTCAAACAATTGTAAATAACTCAATTAATAACAATGCCAATTAAATTAACGAAAAGAATCAAAAGACTAACATTGGTCTAAGTCCACATCCACCATCGAAAATCCACAATTGATCATAGATACAAGGATAATTCAATTCATATTTCGAATATTCATCGTTGGAATTGATTCCTATTTCTCCTTAATTTTAGTTAATTAGAAACCAGCGTTCTAATTAACCCTAATTATTAAATAACCCCAGACCAGCGCTCAAGATTCAATTTAATAACAGCTTTACACAATAGAGAAATCGATGAACTAGATAACACAAACACCAGCGGTTGCATTCAATCTATTTAAACATTCTTCTTAAGATTCAATAACCTCTATCGCAGAAAATAATCAAATCCTAGTGCTTCACAAGTTAAAGGGATCAAACAATTACGGATTTGATGTTTAACTTAGCGGTAGATTGTTACAATCAATAAACTAGCGGGCCCTCTAGCAATTAAACGCAACAAATCATAGAAATAAATGCAGAAGAACATTCAATACTCAAAATATAAATCAAACAATAAGAAAAACTATTTAGATCTCACAATATGTGGTTCCGAGGCTTCAATTTCCTTCGACCAAGCGTAGAAGTTTAGTTACACATGATAGATCTAAGAAAAATAGAGAGAAAATAGGTTGGAGGCGTTCTCCTCCGTTCTAGGGTTTTAAAAGATGTATTTATAGTTGTTTCCATAGGTGGTTGACTTAAATTAGGAAACCAGAATTTTCGTATCGGAAATGAACCATGCGGCCGCATGGTTTAGAGGCTTGCGGCCGCAAGGAACAAATGAACTCAGCCTTCAAACTCTCGGTAATGGTCTATGCGGCCGCATGGAATTAAAGGCTTGCGGCCGCATGGTTTTACGAAATTTCCTCCGAACAGCTTTCAGTGTTTTGGTCGTATCTTCTTTTCCCGATATCCGATTGAGGCGATTCAAGATGCGTTGGAAAGATAACTCAAAGGGCTACAACTTTTATTCAGATATGATCTTCCAATTCGATCGTTTTCCATGTCGAAAATGGGTCTCAATATGAGGCTGAAAATCGGTGTATAACTTTTCGATTGGAAATTGATGTGTGATCATACTTTGACGATATTTCATCCATTTGACGTCTTCTTTCAAGCAATTGACTCTCAAATCTTCATTGTTTGGTTTGACACAACTTTTGTGTATTTGCACGCTTGTCCTTGAACTTTCATTTCCTTTTACTTTGGTCCATTTTCACATATTTCTTCCAAATTACGCTATATCGATCAACTTGCCACCTAAACCAAAATATGAGAATACTAAGTACATTGAGGCATAAAATAATCATATGAGTGCATTAAATAAATATGTAAAATGTGTATTTTACATTCCTATCAATATGCTCGTACAAATAGTGATACATAAGTCTGAAATGATATGCTAGCTGGGAAGAACAATTGGAAATGTGCTACCAAAGGAGTTCAGGCTTGCTTATCATCAGCATTCCCGACTCCCTCACCAGACGCAGTCCTGACTTCGACCTACTCTTCTACCATATTCGGCATACCAAGCATCTGACACAATTCTGCATAATCAGTTGTCACTTTGTCTACATCCTAGCTAACATGTTTACCTTTCTTATGATAATTCATATGAAAGGCTCTACTTGCTATTTCAACTTCTAGCTGGCAATTCTCTAGACGGTCCTCTAGATAAGCAATCTGAGCCCAGAAGATTTCTTTAAGTTTGCAAGCTCCTCCTCCAACTCGAGCTTCTCACGAACCATCTCAGCTAGCTCATCTATCGCCTTTTCTAGCAGCCAAGTCAGCATCTTTCTTCCCAACACTCAAACTTTCGACTTTTCCACATAATGAAATATTTGCGTCCTGTAATGAGCATACCTTTTTGGGTCGTCTAATAGCTTCTTTTTTCCGAAAAATGGCACCTTGCAAACCCTGGAATCAACGAAATAACTTCGCGTCAACCGATTGGGTTATCCATAATGAAATATATAAAAAATAATATACCTGAAAAATCTGAGACATCGTGTTCCTGCCTTTACTGGACCAAGTTGCTCATAGTACGTCCGATCTTCAGGAAATAATAGACCTTCGCGAAGCGCCACCACCGGCGGATTAGAAAACATAGATGAATCGAGGGAAAGGTAAACACGATCGAAAAATTGTCTGTTGACAATGGCTCTAGACGAGGAGGGAGCATCAGGTAGCTCGGTCTTGAAATCATCAGGACAGGAGTGTCAGCTAGCGTTGTAAGATGAGAAAACTTCTTACACTTTTCTTTTGCCTTTCTCCTTTCCAAAGCGTCAAGTGAAGACCCTACCACTCTTGCCATGATTCGATCTGCAATTTCTCATTTCGTCGAGTTAAGCAGACCGACCAAAGGAAGATCACTACCAAGAATTTCCATACCTCTCTTTATCATGATAATAGAGATTTTATATCTTGGGAAATCGAAAGGAATACCTCGTGGTTTTGCCGAAGTATGATCCCACAAGCCACTAGAAGAAGGAACTTGTAGCCCCTTTGATCCTTAAGTATCGCTAAGATCTTAGAAATTCGCTCTTTCACAAATAAGCCTTCGACGAGCCGTGTGTTGATGTGAAGAACTACAAGAAATTGAAATAAGAACCTTGAATCAGTAAAGCATGTTGAGAAAGTGATATACAAAGCTTACGACGTGACCATGCTGAAGGGGTTTTGTAATTTCCCGGTCGAATCAAATCGTCTAACGCGAGAAAATAAGACCATGGAACCTTTATCTCTCAAGGAAAGTCCAGCTATCAATCGATCGATATTTTTCCTTACATTTAAGGAAAATCGGTCTTTCTCACCATCATGCTCCCTTATAAAGTAACTGTACAGCAGCTCCGGCATGCCAAATGAGATATCATGCCGCCCAGTTAGAACTTGAAGAGTCAAGAACAATCGCCAAGAGTTAGGCATGAGTTGATTGGTTGCAATATCAAAATATTCTAGCACATCAAAAACTACTCACTAGCAACTTCACTCTATGATGGATCAAACTCTATAAACACCGAATCAAAATTAATGCAACCACTGAAGAACTTGAAAAAATGTTTGAAGAAAACTCAAGAATAAGACAAGGACTTGAAGAATGGAGGAGAGAAACTCACCAAAATCCTTAAGGCTCCTTGAAGTCTACCCAAGTTTGAGAAATGAATGATGAAGCTTTAGTAATGAGAATTGGCCCGCTAAACGAGATGGAGACAACTTCACAAATTTATTCAAAATCATCAACCAAATGTGTGCACTAGATGGACATAATTATCAGTCTACTAATACTCTCTACAAGACATGTCGCACGGTCTAAATGGATCGGTAATTCTTCCGTTTGAAGGGAACATTTATCGATAGACTAATACTCTCTACGACACACGTCATATGGTCTAGACGAATTGGCAATTTTCCCTCTTTGAGTGGGCATATATATATATATAGTATATGTGTGGTGGTAAAAACATTGTATATATTTATATGGTATATTTTATGTAATTTATCTATATTATGATTATATAATAAGAATAAAGAAATAAAATTACATAATTAGAAATAAAACGATTTTCGAGCCGTATGATTTTGAAAATCAAACTGCTTTCAAACAATTGGTACTAAAAAATCGTATGGCTTGATCAGTCGTGTGAAAATTTGCCAAAAACATGTCACGTGGTTTTCGAGCCACATGTCATTTTGAATAGCTTTTTAGTCATATGATACCAAAAATCAATATAAAAAATTGTACAACTCGACAGCAGTACCTCATTCTTCCAAGTGTCGCATGGCTTTCGATCACGCAATAAAATCACATTGCTAGGCAAGCGTACGATAATATCCCATGACTTTTTTTGGTCGGATGATTTTCATCCACCACCATAACGAATTATATTACGACTCCAAACTATATGATTAGATGATTCGTCCTATGATCAAAGTGCACCCTCAACAAATGGTATAATCAGTCTAAAGCTCGAATTACTCTTTCATTCGAGTGAAACTCATATAAATGAGTGCGGGACAAACTGTAGTGGTAAAAAATTTTCCACTAGCCCAAATGGCCCGAGTAAAAAAATAAGGCCCACAAATGGTCCACTTGATAAACGTACCATCTTTTGCCCAGTTCGTTATGTCGATCGGGCCAAATACACGGTTCAAGAGCCACGTATCAATTCAATATCTCTGATAATTTATCTTCAAGATAAATCATGCTATGATTTGACCACATCAAATAGAAGTTAACGGAAAATAGCTTGGGTATCTCAACCGAATAG